TTAAGTTCCTCTTTCCTCGGCAAACCTCTTGTGTATCCAGTTGGACTCTCCCTAGAGTTTCCAGTCAGACTTCTACTCCCGGCGCCTCCACATTACTTCGTTTTATACCAATATATAATTAATATTGCATCGTCATTACTTAATGATTTCAAACCCCGTGCGGGAGATAACCCGGTGACACGAGGGCATCCATAATTAAAAGCGCGCTAATCAGAAGGGCCCTCGGCAGCGCGAGGACGCGCACCCAGGGGCCCGCGGTGTGAAGATAACTGTGAAAATCGAGGCCCTTTATTTTTTCTGTGGCGTTTATATCATGTACGACAATACTTTTTTTTTTTTTAAAGCCATAAATAAAACAGTCCGGCGAATTCCCACCAAACAAACAGCCAGATAAGCTCAGCTGTAGATGCACTTAGAAGCTTATGAGTCTTTGATACGCCTCAAGATTACATTAATACAACTAAATAAAACACAAAACGTCGCTGCCCGAGTCATTTTCTTCTTTAAAAATAACCAATAATTTATTCGATTTACACTTCACACAATTTTTAAAGTGAAATCAAGAGTGAGGAAAAAAAATAAATACTTAAATTAAGTGATACTGTATATATCTGGGCTATAATAATTATAGCTCATATGAAACACATGTTCACATCAAAATATTAAAATATAGCAGCAACCAAAGCCACATATATGTGCCTTATATGAACGTGTTATTTCCATTTCTAAATAATTCAAGATAAACAGACGGTGTGTTGTGAAATTACATTACTGTAATTATTCATATTTGTGCGTAAATGACCATCAAACAGTTAGCGAGGTGAACAGATTGGTTTGTATATAAATACAAAAAACGTGGTATAAAAATGTGGATTTTTTTTAACCCCTCATCTTCAACTCACATTAGTCTGAACTAAGCTTGAGAAAAAAAAGGAAAAAGAGTGAGAACACAGTTGAAGATAGGATGCACGTGTTGTGGTCCAACAAGTGAATATTACAACAAAAAAATCTATTACCATCAAGTGTTCCTCTCATAAACAGTTTTACACCACTGCGCACGCATCGAGTTTCTAATCCCCCTTTCGGTAATAGAAAAAGTGACTTTATATCCCTGAATATGACAAACTGTCAGGGTGGATTCGCTGAAAGTTCACATCAAGTGTGTGCAAGATACATGATCAACAACATTAAAATCGCCCTCTCCACAGATCTATAACGCAGGCATTTATGAGCGCCACATTAATAACTCAATCGAGAAAAAAAGTGCAACAGCGAAGAGTGAGTGACACGAAATGAGGAAAAAAAAGAGGAAAAAGTTTTTGGAGATAATCCCAGTCGAGACGTGAAGATCTGTTGATAAATCCCCATTATTTAGGCTACTCGGGCTATTATTAATCACTCGATCAAAAATGTAGTAGGCTATTTTATTCATGATGTGTGAAGCTCAGTGCACCGCAGAGTATTTCATTCGTTTCTGTTTCTGCCGCTGGTTACAAAACCAGACTCGGACCACATTCTTTTTCAGGTCCAGTTTTTCGGCGATGGCGGCAATTTTTTCCGAGGAGGGCCGCGGCTGGATAGCAAAGTACGCCTCCAACGAGCGCTTCTCCGGCGCGGCGATCGAGGTGCGCTTCCTTTTCCTCTCGTTCCCGCTGAAAAGGTCCGGCTTGGTGCTCTTCTCCCGGTACGCAGCCTCCGCCTCCTCCAGCCAGGCCTGGAGAACCGGCTTGAGCGCTATCATGTTGTTGTGGGACAACGTGAGGGACTCGAACCTGCAGATGGTGCTCTGGCTCAAGGAGCCCACGCCGGGGATCTTGAGGTTGGCCAGTGCCGACCCGACGTCTGCCTGCGTCACCCCGAGCTTGATCCTCCTCTGCTTGAACCGCTCGGCAAAGGCTTCCAGCTCCCTGGGATCCGACTCCACGTCGTTGACGCATCCCATACCGCCGTGCACGGACAGCGAGTGAGGGTGGGCCATGTTGGCCATCGCCTGGTGCAGCTGCCCCCATGGTCTGTAGGTGGTGGTGAGGGTGCTGGTGGTGGTGGTGGTGCCCCGACGCGGTCATCCCGGGAGGCTCCGGTGCGCCCATCCCGGTCATGGACAGGCTGTTGGAGAGGTGGTCCAGGAGGTCCCCGGCCTCCAGCGTCTGTCCGAGGTGGTGGTGGTGGTGATGGTGGTGGGAGGCGATGGTGGAGGGCACGTGGGAGATGGGCACGGTGGCGGAGGAAGAAGAGGATGCTGAGGTGCAGGGGACACTGCTCATGGTATGGTAAGTCACGTCTGGTTTGAAGGGGTGACTCTTGCCGTGAGAGACAATGCTGTCAGCAGCTGCCAGAGCCTCTGCCCGTGCCAGCAGGCTCTCATCAAAGCCTCCGAATATATTGCCCTGCAGCTGCAAGCAAGAGTGCGCATACTGGAGTCAGTGGGGAATTCTGTCAGGCAGCTCTCAGGATCTAAAAAACATTTTCCAAAGGCAAGCAACGCGGAGGAGAGGATAAAACCCTCCTCAAAGCGCAGGTCATAAAAATTAATATGAAAGCAAGAGCATTGCTTGAAAAGACGGATGAAAAAGGGGGGGAGGAGGGATTTGGAGAGACGGGGGACACGAAGAGAGAGAGAGAGAGAGAGAGAGAGAGAGAGAGGGGAGAGGGAGAGAGGGGGTGGGGGAGGGGGGTGGGGGTGAGGGAGGGATGTGGATCGTGGATAGAACAAAGTCCTGTCAAATCAACTTTACAGACATTTCCAGCGTGATACCCCCCCCCCCCCCCTCTCCCCCTCTCCTCCCTCCTCTCGCCCAGTTTACCCCGCAGACATTCTTCCCTGACCCGAACCTACCTGCGGGGCGGGCAGACAGACTCTGCGCATGCCCTCCGAGCCTGAGTGCAGGCCGGGGTACTTGGGCTCGTGCAGAGCCGGGTGCATGGAGAAATGCTGTTTGCCGTTCATGGTCATCATCCTCCTCCCTTCGAGCACCTCGCCAGCAGTGTGGCCCCTGACATGAAAGCCGGGGAGCGGACAGCTGCGGAGCTCCCTCTTGCTCTCCTTCACCAGACTGAGCTGTTAACACCGACAGCGCCTCCCGGCATCCCTCCATCCCCCCCCCCCCCCCCCCCCCCCCTCCTCCTCTTCTTTCAGCCTCCCTCTCCCTCCTTCCCTCCCACCTGCTCAGTTTACAAGTTGAAAAATGTTTCCCTCCGTGTGCGCACGCGTCAAGCGAACCCAAGCGCGATGCGCTAATGACAATGTAATAAAAACGATGTGCTGCGGCGATGGCGCCATTGGGTTTTTTTAATCGGTTCTACGTGGCGACGATGTCGGGCGTAACAGAAATGAAACCACGGCGCTGTACGACGAGCCAGCGATTTCAGCACCACGGACAGCGCATCGCCAATGAGCGCACGCGGTGTCCCTCGTTTGACGTATCACAGATAGATAAATAGATTCGTAGTTTTTGTATGTGCACCCTTACCAATCGTAGGAGCGATAAGGCCTGCGTGGTTGACCCCGAGGGGGTCAATATATCCCGGGAGCTGTTTGGCCGCCTCCCCGTGCGGCTGCTTGGTAACTCGCCGAGGCCGAACCGATGACACCAGCGCGTCCATCCGATCCTCCGAGCCGCCTCTCCGGTTCCCCCGAAGCCTGAATAATTTAGCTGCACGGTGGCAGGCATCCATTACCACGCTGGCATGTTCTTATTCATTACACAGATTAAAACGGCCGAGGTATTTTTCTCACCAGGCAGACCTGTTGCCGCCTGTGGAGCCGAACTTCAAGAGCATGCGTGTCGGCCGTTTCATGGTGGATGGAGAAAAGATTACATTTGCATTTTGCAGAAACATTTGAATAACTAAAGAAGTAACATTTATATATTTTATTACTGACTGAACGTTTTGATTTTTTTTTTTTTTACCTAATGTTGATATTGTTTTTGCATTAAAAAAAGGGAAAAATGTGTCCTATAAAAAGTAAAACAGGTTGAGTGAGAATCGGAAAAAGTTGTGTGAATAACCTGAATAAAGCCCCTTTTCTCACCTTCCCTCTTTCTTTCCCCTTAATAGCTGTAACACAGCAGGGACCATTTATAATTTAGGGGCCAGTGTCTGTGTCTCTATCTTGGCCTTTTCATATTCTAAAGATGAATATGACATGTTTTATGAAGAGTGCTTTCACATGGTGGCTCTTTTCTTTACACTCCACCAGAAGACCTGACTGTCACATCGTGCATTCATATACCCGCTGCTCTGTTGTTCTTTAGTTAGCTGCAATTCAGCAGCATTGATGCTTTCTCAACTATGGGTCTATTCTACAATTTAAATTGATTTTGTCATTTTCAAAACAATGTCAAATCTGAGGATCTTTAACCTGTTATATAATACATGTATTCAAACAATATAAAACTCGTGCATGCATGACTACAACATTATCCCTTTTAGCGATTTTAATCGCCCGTCCTTTTCCTGAGGCAGGATCAGAGCACCGCTCATGCCCAGATCCTTTCCCCTCAGAAGAGCCAGGAGCTCCTGGATTTAACTGAACAGACTCACCTGACCTCCTAAAGTAAGACACACAATTGCATTATTCAGGATTAATTTAATGGGTCATTGTCGCTGTGATTAAATCGAGTGTTGAAGGTCTCAGGTTGTACTGTCACTTGATTGTGGGAGTCACAAAGTGGAGGTTATTTTTATATATTCCAGCATTATGCACATTGGAAGGTATTGAAATGTATCGACAATCCAGTTACATGCTCCGTACAGGTTTGTTCAAGATGTAATATGTATTTCAAAACCTGCAGCTTTGTGTTTTTAGGAAACATTCAGAGCCCTGAGCACATCAAGGAGCTCCATCGTATGAAGATAGTGAACTGGAAGCCATTGATTGTTACAAACAAGGAGACCTGGTAAGAGACTTGCAGTGCAGTTTGAGGAACTTCAGGTTAGCAGATTGATGCATTAACATTTCAATGATAACGTGCAAAATTAAGGAGACGACACAAGAGTTTAAGGTCATATTTTTGGAATGCTTTTGCGCTCATTTTTTCCCCCTTGCAAAAATTGACATTTCTGGGTCAATTTTCATATTTTGAATTTTGTTTGTTTCATTGTTAGATCCAATTGAATTAGTTTTTCCCCTCTTTTTTTTGATCATTTTCCAAGCACCCCATTCCTCCATCTTTATTGGCAAAAGCAAACATGCTAGTAGATTAGAAATCCATTTTTTTACAAACAAAATACATGAAGAAAATACATCAACATCCTGCAAATATAAACAGTAACAAATCCAAAACTATTATCCAATAAACATTTACATTTTTTTTTACACCATTGTAATAGCATACAGAAGATCATACAAAAAGTGGGAGAGTCTTTTTGTATCCTCACTTTCACAAGCCAGAACCCTGCCTGTACAGGTTGGTCCAGTGACCTCATATAAATAAAATGATCACACGGGAAAACCATACTGAAGAAGTGAGTGCCACGGCGCGCCTGACCTGACCGACCCAGCGCTCCGTGGCTCGAATGGGACAACGAGGTCACTGCCAAACGAGAGCACAGGCGACAGTTAAGGTGGGAGCTATTTAAACGACGCAGACCATCGCCGGTAGAAACTCGAGTTACCGACTATTCCAACGGCAGAAATCTGTGTATATTTACATGCGTGAAGATCTCTACCTGCACTTCAGTGTAAAGAAGCCAGACTGCTACAGTTTACTAATGAGTTACTTTCCCTCGTTTTGGTGTGTTCATCCAACTGGTTGTGTTATTAGATATGATCAGTTGTTATGATACACGTTCGCTAAGAAAAACATCACTAGGCTGCATGTAAACAAAAGTATTTGTCAAAAAAAAAAATCTAAAATATTTGCAAATGCGGGTAAATAAAAAGGTTCCCGTGCTGTGGGAGAGCGGGGTGGGAGCACTGGCTGACAATGTTCAGGTGCAGGAAAAGCTGCACTTATTTAAAAATAATAGTGCGAGTGGTTTCCACAGCTCAGAAAGATAATTAAAAAAAATGAATGTCCTACTTAGATGACACTTTGAGTGAAATAAAAACATAGTTTAAGACAAAAGGAAAAGTTCTTGCCTCAAGCACAGATGCAAAGCACTCTCGCTTTACCTTTTCTACCTGACTGAACCGTGACCTGCTTAGAATGAACTAAAACAAACAGTAATTTCTCTTTCAAGCATTTACAAAACTTTACAAAAGTAAATAACATCTTGTAAAAATTCAGCCATCCGCTGACTGTGTAAGGCAAAGAAATTATATAATATATATATATATATATATATATATATATATATATATATATATATATAAAAAAAAATCAACTGCTCAGTATTACATTCAAACACCTGTCTGGGGACCTCACATTTTGGAAATAAGTGATGGGATCGTGTCCCGCTCGGCCTTTGGTGACCAGGAGACAGATGGGAAAAAAAAAGTGAAAGATGTTACACTCTTAGAAAATGTCAAACACCAAGTAGGAGTTCGTATTTACACAGAGTGGCAACGGACATTTAGTGACCAACAAAATGCAGGCGAGTGGGGTCCGGGGGGGCGGGGTTTGAAGATTTACAGAAAACTTATCGTGCACGGACACGGGAATTTGTAAACATGGTTTGGATTTTTTTCCCCCCTCCTTCCTATTACTCGGGTGTCCTGCTGTACCTGCACTGGCTCTAATGCGGTTGGGCTACGAGCACCTTCGGGTGTTTGCTTGGAATACAACATGCTGCTAGTTGGCGTTCATGCCGCCACAGGGAGTCGCTGTCAAAGCTATTTGTGTAGTTCAGCATGTCGGCCTCAACCATCCCTGAACATATAAAAGAGCAAAGTGAAATGGAAAACCACAGCGTGCTGCGACAACATACGTACGGCACAGAGCATTGATGCAGTGGGAAAATAAATAAAGAGCTCTCTGGGAGCCACACAGAACGTTCTATTGGTGAAGGAATGGCTGTGTCTGAACTGAGAACAAGATCTTTCAACAAAAAAAAAAAGAAAAGAAAAAACGGGTGAGAAAAAGTTTAAATACAGTATGTATAAAAATACCTATTCACAGTAGACACAAATGTTGTGCATTACTGATATTAATCATCTGGTATGCACACTAAAACTTACATTAGGTGTTTCTATTGATAAAGAACAACTTAACATTTAGCTTTCTCAGCAAAAGTGAGATATTTTAAGTGTTCAGTCCGAGGGATACAAAAACTGTCTGCCCTCAAAAGTCCTTTTGATGTAGTCAAGTAAAGATGTTTTGACTTTAGTATTTGCTCTAAAATGATTCACTTTGAAAATACTGGAAAGGAAAAAAAAAAAAAAAAAAAAAAAAGTCTATTGGATTTATTTTATGTGTACGCGTGTACGGCCGAGACGCCTCCCAACGCCCTCATCGTCTCCAGGACCGGCTCTCGTACTCATCGTCTTCATCGTCGTCCTCTTCCTCCTCCTCCTCTTCCTCACCGGGTAAATACGAGCTAGCTTCCTTCTGTGTGAACAACAAAAACAGTTTCTTTTTTAGCTTAAACGGATGAGAAGGCTGCACGATATTTCTCTACATATTAGCTGGTTGGAACATCCAGCAGAGCATCTTTGTAGAAAAAACGTCAGGACTTTTTTCAATAAAAACGCATTTCTCGCTGGTTTCGCTAAACTGTTTAAGAAAGTCATTGAGTAGGAGGACTTCACCTGACAGTAATGCGGTTTTACTCAAAGGGCCAAGATGCTCTTAGTACTGAGAGGCTCGCCCTGATTTTCCATTGGGAGCAGCAGTGAAAGATTTAGAAGCACTGAAAAGAAATGTTATGTGCTGAAATTATATATAGTACAACTAAAACTTCAGAAACTTTTCCCAATTAAAAGCTAAAGTATTTGAGGTGGACTTCTTTCATGGTTTCTGGGTGTCTCTAAGCTACCAAGGAGAACACGTTTGGGTGATGCGTCATACCGTAGTGTCGTCATCTTTAGCTTCTTCCTCCTCCGGCTCCGTTGCGACCGAAGGCGTCTTCGGCTTGTACCAGGAAATCTGCAGCACGCGACCTTTGAACTTTGCTCCCTGGTTAGCTGCCTAGAAGAAGAAAAAACAAACACAGTCAAACTTAGTCTTCTTTGCTTAAAACCGTTATAGTATTTATTTATTATTTTACTATTCCATTCATTTCAGGTGATGAGGAAAGGAAGGAAGAAAGACGGCCCAAAGCGGTCCACTGTGATGTGACTCACATTCTCGGCTTCGCTTCTCGTCTTAAAGGTCATGACAACACTGTTTGCATCTTGGTCGCGGAAATCTTCAATCTCGCCAAAATTCTAACGGCAAAAAATGATCAGTATTAGTCCACTTGCTTCAACAAGGAATTCAGTTATTAGTGTAGAAGGAAATGTGTATCGCGGTCCTCACCACAAAGTGGGGCATAAGCTCCTCCTTCTCCTCCTGAGTGACACCCAAAATGGCCAGGGCCCTGGGTCTGTGGTCCACCACCATACGGTTCACGCTCCCACACCGCGCCATCATCTCCCGACTCCGCCCCCTGCCGCGGCCCACGTGCACCAAGCCGGGCTCCAGCGCCATCTTTCCCCGGCCCCGACCGCGACCCGCTGGGGATCGGATCAGACCCAACCGAGTCGCCTACAAGGAAGAGAGTTTGTGGAGCTTTAATGGTAAACAGACACTGTTTTGCTATAGGATTGCTATGTGCAAATACACTTCATTTATGTCTAGCTTAATAGCATGTTAATTCATATAATGAACTTCATGAAAAAACCCCATTTCAAAACATTTTCTTGACTCGACCTTCTCCTCCTCTTGTCACTCTCTGCCCTTTAACATTAGTTGTCACTCCTACATTTTTAAAACGGGACATCTCCTCGCTTCCCAACCATTCCACAACCACTCGCTCACCCATTTCTCCCGTGCTCACTCCGCCCTCAAATTGTCACCCCACAATTTTCTTACAAGGACCAGCAGCTCAAACTTTAATGAGGCAGGCTCCATCAGAGCAGGACCTGTGTCGGATTCGGCTTCGTTAGCGCCTGTTCCTCTGGGCTTGCTTAAGTGGCTGCAGTTTAATGTGCAGAAGGAGGACCGGGGTTTTTATGGAGGTGGGAGGGTGGGGGGGCGGTGCGATATGCATTTTTAATAACTAGCTAATTTAGGACCCACAGGGGTAGAGAAAAACCCAACATGCTCGGCCGGGAGTTGCTAACAAGAGTCATGTTCTTGTTGGACTGATCTTGTGACACAGCCGACCTCGTCTGTGTTCTTGTGCTGGAGATGTCGGAGTTCACCTACAGCTGCAGCCCAGAGAGACATTTTTCACCCTCACTTATAATTCATTTTATGACCTGAAGCCGATGCAAACCAATTCACAGATTAAAACACTTTGTTGGTTAGCATTGATTCCTACAGCAGGAACACACATCTTCTTCGTAGACTCCCATAGTTCCCACAAATTCCTACTATTTTTCATCCTAGAATGTATACAACATAAATGTGAATCCCAAAACAGCAGTAAGCATAACTATGTATTCTCTCGGGATCAAAATGTTGCTTTATAGCTCCCTGTGTAGAAACGCTTATATCGCAAATAATTTGCATGTGCACCGCTTTTTCTTTTCTCTGTATTTCCAACCTTAATCAGGCAGTATTGTGCGATTCATGTGAACACTATCGGATTTGCTGACTTCCTCTAGCTTCTCTGAATCACATCGCCTCAAATTCTGCACCCAAGAAAAATGCTGCTGTTGCAAGATGCTGTCACGGTCTATCGCTTTGTTTGTGGAGTGTCTCTAAGGACTTATCTTCAGATCTTTTTATTGGCCTGTGGTTATCTACTGTGCATACATGTGTGTGTGCGTGTCTGTGCATTACCTCCACCTGTAACTGTCCCAGCTTCCTCTTGAGGTCTGTTGTATCTTCCCCAGAGCTCATCTTCTTGTGAAAGTCCAGCTCAGCGTCCAGCAATTCCTTTTGGGCCTGGTCAAGAAATCAACACATAAAAGAGCAGAGAAAGACGGATTAAGAGTTTCAAATTCAATCTAGAGTGGCGGGACAAAGCTTCACTCCCATCTGTACAGGAGATGAAGCATTCCCGCCACGCACCCGACCAAAATGGCCTAAACTTACATCAGTCTTTGTCTTGGACTGGCCGTGGTTTGGTTTAACACTGGCTACCTGGGAGGCGGGGTTCATTTCATTCTGCAGCTGTGCGATCTTCTCCGTCAGCTCCTTTAGCGTCTTCATGATGTTGGCTCGCTCCTCTGGTTTCATCCCTCGGTTCTTGTCCAGACGGTTTATCAAGGCCTTTGAAATGGAACGATAAACAGTGAGAGGAGGAGGTGCAAAAGGGACTCAAAATTAGACCAAAACCGAGGCATGGCCGAGCCCAGGAAAGAAGAGAAGGACCGCAAGAGTTGCAGGGATAAATGGACAGGAAGGGACGTTAGGGCCGGTGTTACCTTCTGGCATTCCATCTGTGTCTTTAACATCTCTTGCTTCTTCTTTCTCATGTCCTGCTGGAGTTTTATCGCCTCCTAAATGAAAACAAAAAAGACAGCAATAGTCACTGAGGTGTAAAATGTGCCATTTGCTGTTGGTGTCATTTAGTTTCTAAATAGTAGCCTGCTTCCCACTTGTCGCCTTGGAGAGAGAGAAATAAATAAATAAATAAATAAAATGTTACTCCCAGCTCTGCTATTCTCGTACCGGCCAAAATACATATTAAAAAATAAAGCTCCATGCCTGTTTCTTCTTGAGGACTTCCTGTGCTTCTAGTGCTTTTCCCGTTCTCCCAAAGCTCTTTGAGGAGGATTTGAGGCCTGTGGAAGTGTAAGGGCTCTTCTGGGGGTTAGTCAGTGCAGGCACCACCTAAGTGTCACACAGAGTGAGAGAGAGATTGAGAGACACATTTATGTCCCCAGAAGGAGCTCGTCTACAGCTGCAATGGACCGGAGGGAGAATGCCTTCTCGGGGCCAACGAAATATGAGTTATTGCCCCAAATTGCTACCTAATGCTTATCTGTGTGAGGCTGTCACTGGGCTGCGTGTGTTGATACAGATGTTTTCAGAATATTCCGTTCCAACTGGCATGTACCCGCTTTTTTGGACTATAAATACTACCAAGTGTTGTATTCCTCCCCCCCCATGTCGGGCATCACCTGGCACCCACATACGTGGAGAATAAAACGTACAGTGAGGGCGTCTGCGTTCGGGTTCAGGCCGTCCAGTCTGGTCCCGGCCGCGAGGCCCGGCAGCGCCGGCACGCAATGCTTGGGCACAATGTTGTTCAACACGTAGGCGGCTGGACTGTGCTGCTTTATACCCTGCTGGTAGATTGAAAGGGAGCGAAAGAAAAATAAAAAGGTGAACTCAGCGAAGGCTTGCAAAAGCGTGGCGAGACAAAGACATCAGCATTAAAAGAGGACGGACGTCTGTAGGTTTCGGGCCCTTTGCGCTAACCTTGTGCATGTTGCCGTGCTGCTGCTGTTGCTGCAGCAGCGCCGGGCTGGCCGCCGACCCGGCCGGCTGGCTGCCGGAACTTTGCTCCTGGAGCCCTGTCACATTGGTGCCGGGCTCGCGGTGCCAATACACGCGGATGAAGCGGTTGTTGAGAACCGCCTCGGTGCTGGATATGGCCCGCCTGGCTTCTTCGTTCTTGGTGTACTGGATTAACGCCGCCTCTGGGTCTCCGCCAAACACCACCTGGATTTGGAGCGCAGTGAGAGGGTTAGCGATCTGTGTGAGATGAAACCAATTCTTCCACGGCGGAACTTCTTAAACTGTAATGATCATGAGTATCATAATGGAGGGGTATCACGATGTAATTTGTTGCAACACTGTAGCAAGGCAATATATATTGTACAGTCTTTAATATCACTTTATAAAAACTGATATAGGATTAATAACACAGAACTATGTGCACAAAATCCGAGTAAGAAGCTCTAAAATCGATCACCATGGCACTCATCTGCCTTTTGAGTACCTGAGAATTCATGCAGTACCACAAAAAGTCACTAAAAATATTAAAGTTTTTTTAAAATAGTTCAGTAGGTTAGTCACATACAATCTCATTACATTTTGTCATGCAACATGTGCCTGACTATGTCATGCTGATGATTGCGTATAGGACTAGTGTTATTTAAGCATTGCGTTTAGGTAAATAAAATAGTGGGTTATTTAGGTCAACTGACGCCTGATTTTCTCGGACCGCCCACACTGCGACTTCTGTACACGGCACTGGTGCCACGCAGCACCCGAAGCATTTTACCTGGATATTCACGATGGTTCCAAACTTGCTGAAGTGCTCGTTGAGCTTGGCGATGTTGTTGAGGTCACGAGGGATCTTGCGCACCTCCAACTTGGTGTTCACATAATAACACCTCTTGGGGAAAGTGTTCTTATGCTGGTTGTTAAAGTTCGGCCTGAAATGAGCAGAAGACTGAGATGCTGACACCTGATGTTTGCCACAGAGGAATGCGTATTCACGTACGATGATGGTGGCAGTGAAATGCAATGCAGATTACTACCCATATACTAGTTACTAGCAACACATATCAACCTGGTTGACACTCAAGATGGACTACATGTATATCCTGTGCAAATGAAGCAACAGAGGTTGGGGTGACATTTCTTTTAAACAAGAGTGTCTGAAAAATACATACTTCTCCATCCAGGGTTTTTTAACTATTGGTCCCTCAGCCGTACTAGGTCCGATGGTTCTCTTCCGGTTGTCCTGCTCCGCGTTGAAGCGGCACACGTTATTTCCGGGAGTGCTGGCTGCAGTGGCAGGTTCGGTCTGTATCACTATGTTGGCGGCTAGAAGATCAACAAAACAGAATTAACACAATGAGAAATGTATCAATATCAGTCAGTGCCTATTACCAAGCATAAGGTCTGGGGAGAGTGAACACTACCAAGGCCAATACTACCTCTGGATCCTTGTCCTTCGTTGGAGGTGAGGCCAATAAGGTTGGAGCGCTGGGTCTGCACCCGGGGAATGAACTGGCGATACGGGTTACGACCTGCTGCAGTTAGGCCTGGCGATTCTGGGTTATAGCCCTCTGGATCGTAGTTATCTGATGGGTAAAAATGAACAAGGACATAGAACATGAATGCACAGGCTTACAGGGAATATGAATCAGTTTAACAGCAATTCAATTCTTAACAAAAAAATGAAAAAATTTAAGCTGTACTGCATAAATAAATAAGATGAGTGGCATTGAGTGACGATACTGGCCTAGACTAATCTTGTAAAAGAATTTGATCATTACCAAATATAACTAAAATAATTAGATTTACGATTTACAAACACATAAGCGGTGAAAGAAAATACAATAGAAATATTATTTTAATAGAAATATAGATAAGCTCAAACAGCACAAGATGAAAAATCTTATAATTAGAAACTGTTTATTGTAAAACTAAATTTAACAAAGGGGTTTTGGTGTTGAATTACATTTAATACCTGATTTTGTAACTAACTAGAAATATACCAACTCCATTTTATGACTGGGAATTATTCAAGCACTCAACACAATAAGATGTGGAGTTCATGTTAATTGCTCAAAGCCACTCTGTCTGAAGTTAACAAACAGTGCCCCATTCTGGCCAACCACCATTACTGCAGCCTGAAAAATATATAAAGTGAATCAAACAGAATTTCCTAATCTGAACATGTAAAAGCATCGCTGCTTACATTCGGACTGGACATATTGGGGACGAAGAGACACTGATGAGGACGGGGAGGGTGGAGGAGGAAGAGTGGGTGGTGGCCGCCCCACACCAGGTGGTCCGATAGGAGGGGAAGAAGTGATTGCCGTTTGGTGGTTGGGAGTATCAATTCCACTGGTTGCTATCAGTGGGGGTCCTGAGGGAGATAACAAGCCCAAGCTTAGGTCTCAGGGATCTCGCAGGTACGTCAGCGAGGTTTGTGCAACTGAAGCGTTGCCACAAAGTTCACTTTAACATGGCGGTAAAAGGTGTCAGGATGTGATGGCAACTGTTCAACCCAATAACACAGATGTATTTTTAATCTGATTCAGAGTTTATCAGAAAAGAAACCTTCACAGTAAACATATCATTTCAGGAATCTGTATCGTTAGACAGGACGGCATGCAAGAAGACGCGTGTAGTGTAACACATTGTGTAGTGTCTAGAAAAGTGTATATGCACCACGTTTAAAGCTAAACTGGATTCCCAGTATTAAAATATCAATGTACAAGAAAGAGGGAATTTGTACCCGTTTGTCAGAGTAATGTAAATATGGTTTTAATGTGTCAAATCAAGGGTGTTGAATGTAAATCCACACTTAACCCCAACACCACCCTCCTACTTCTACCCCATTTCAAGTCCCCATTTTCTGCAGGCCCATTGCATAAAATGTTATTAAAATTGTTTGGAATGTTGCTGTTCACCCGAAAAGGCACCACATCAGGGTGTGTTAGAAGTAGCATGTTATGCAGCAGTGTGGTGGTGCTGCTTACCACTCATGGGGAAGACACCTGGTGGGGGAGGCTGGCCAAAGGGGGGCATCGCAGGCATCCTGAGAGGAGGGGGTGGCTCAGTGATCGGGGGCCTGGGCAGGCCAGTAGGGGGCATGACAGGCGGAGGAGGGAACGGAATCATGTTGGGTAGATTGACATCGTCAACGATGAGCGGGTCGTTTCCGTGGTCGAATGGACAAAGGTCACCGCGAACACAAAATCCCTTTTCTGTGTGGGACAGAGAAATGAAACAAAATAAAAACAACAACAACAATGAATCACACACATATTCCAAAATCAACATTCGCTCAGTACCACGGTAAGACACCGTATTCTTACTATAAGAGTCTGGACCCCTGAAAGTTAAATTAATTCAAACAATACTGACTGAACGGAATATGAGAACGAATGAAAAGCGGGAGAGAATAAAAAATACAAAAAAAACAAGATGAAAGCTTGTCTAAGTTCAGAGCAGCTCAGACAGAGACTGCATGTATTTACCCCACTGTCTCATTAAGAAACTGGGTCCCTAGTGGCAGTGTTTGAGTGGGTGACAGATAGCAGCGGGCCTGAGGGACAGTGGGTAAGTTTAAACCCTTGCGTGTCTCTGTGGTGAGGTGGCTGCGAGCCTCCTTTACTTTCCCCGGGGAGAAACAAGTGCCTAACAGTGGTCATTAGTGAAGATACTAAACAAGGCCAATCAGTAACCCTCAAGGGGAAGTAAATGGTAGCGGATGAACTGCAAACTTCACACAATGACCACGTTGTTTCCTTAGGAAACATTCTCAACGTCAACCGGCTGCAAGAGGGAAGGCACGCATCAGCAAAAACTAAAAATGGAGGAAATGCATTTTCACTCGGTTCCTACCATCGTAATCCCTGCAGCGCTGTTTGAGCGAGACGCTCTTGCTGCCGAAAGTCTTGCCGGCCCCATCCAGCCGCTGGGTGCCGTAGTAGCCGGACCAGCTGTCTGTGGTGCTATCGGGTAGGTGAGCCGGCGTCACTATGGGAACCCCACCAGCTCCGGAGACTCCAGCGGACGACGTGGATGAAAACTGGTGCGGAGGTGTCGGCAGGGGCAGCAGAGGCGGCGGGTGCTGCTGCTGCTGCTGCTGCTGCTGCTGCTGGGAGCCGGATTTGTTGGAAGAGTTGTAGCAGTCCGTATCCTTCCTTTCTAGCTCAAACTTTGACTTGAAGTCTGTTGGAGACGGGCAGAGAGCACAACACTCATAACTATTGCATCAAAGTTGAGGATCACAGCAGAAGTCTAAAACATGAACAATATTTAAGCCTTTTTTTTTTTTTTTAAATAACCTTGTGGCTGATATTGCCAGTTCCAGACTGTGTGGTCGATTCCCCACTGATGGAATTTCAAAGCTGTCCACATTGTTCTTTATCGATAAAAAATAAAAATAAAACCTCCACGGACCAACAATCCAATGGAACCGAATACAAGCGCCTAATCCAGAACTCAGTCTACTCTCAGCAACCTCAAGCGAAGATCTCTCCAGCGGCCCTTGTGCATCGCTAGTGGGGCTGATCCTCTCCCTGTGCTGTTGTCATTGGCTGTGGGGGGAGGGGTGAGAGGGCAGGACTTTCTCACCTCTGCCTCCCCTGTGCTCCGTGTCCCTGCTCTTTCCTCGGCTGCCGCTCCTGCTCCGGCTGAGGCTGCGGCTGTAGCTCCTCCCCCGGGGACTGCCGCGGCGGCGCTCGTGGCGCTCCCGCTCGCGGTTGGACTCGCCCCCGCTCTTCCCGTGCCGGTCAAAGTCGCGGCGCTTGCGCTCATCTCGCCTCCTGTCGTCGCGGCCCCTGTGAGTAAGATGAACATTTAATTACTAGCATCTCTACGGCTGTTTTCAATGCAAGACTCCAATAGACTATATTCTAGGAGGCTTGTGGCTGGATCGATTCTTAAACCAGCATCAAAAAATGATTATACCAAAGTACCTCAAGTCAGTTCTAGTGACCTGTTTTCAAAAGTAATAAAGGAAGAACAAGGCTTTTAGGGATCTTAAACGTGAGTGCCTTCTTACAGCACAAAAGAGCCTTGTCATCATTTTCTTCTATTTTCAATCTATTTTTTCTAGCTTTCCCTGAAAGGCTGTTGGTGCCCAAAATCTACCAGAAGTGTTGAGTTCCAATTGCCTTTACGGAGTGAAAACACAGAAAAATGGAAATTGATCAAGCGGTGAGTATGAAATAAATGTATTGTTCCACGGTTTTAATGCTGGCGAATATAAACAACGTAGCAAAACTCATTAGACCCTTTGACTGTTGTTCTGATTGTTAGCATGACAGGTATTGTTTTGTCCTATCCGTTACTGAGAAGGTGTGTCCCTGCCAAGGGACAAGCTAATGGACACCAAGGTCTTCATCAAGCCAAAAGCAGAACTCATGGGATTTGAAAATAACCATGCAAATATAAGCAGAGGTTCAGATCTGTACACAGCTTGATCATGCGAAACGTTTTATAGTGTTCATTTTGGCAGCTATTTTTGATTTAGTCTTAAGACGGAAATGCATATTAGTTTTAGTCACATTTAGTCATTTTAATCATTCTTAGTTTTAGTCGACGAAAACTAGACTAAAATGGAATTAGTTTAGAATTGGATGTCCCTCCTAGGACAGGTCTATAGGGTCGGCAAACTTTTTGACTCGCGGGCCACAGTGGGTTGTAAAATGTGACGGAGGAGCCGGGCCAAGAACAAATGGTTGAAGTGTTTGTGTGAGCTGATATAAATGACATGTGAAAAATCATTACATGAAAGGATCTGGCTTTTAACAAATAGCAAAGCATTTATTTGCAAGGCAATTTAACAAATTGGCAAAGGTGTAACAACTTCATGAGGACCAGGGATCTAAACGAAACACTTTGTTGTCTTTGTCTGTTTATTTGCAATGCTTTACTTCATGCTTCTTTATTGTTTCCACTGTCCCAACAAAAGAGACCGTAACGTCCTGCAATCGTTGCAATACATTATTTCACACGTGTGTGCGCGCCTCTACGTTGCTTAGTAACGAACCTACGGTGGCCGAGACGGTGTAACAACGTTTTCTCACGATGTGGCGTGTGAACTATAGTTGAAATGCGTGAGGCTTCAGAACCTGCAATGAGTGTATTACGTTAGACGTGTTTGGAGATGCCAAACAGAGCAGAAAAGGTCCGCGTGGATCTCTGCTGGCCGACAGCCTGTTAAACGGGTTTCTCTGAAGCAGCGCGGCTTCAGCCTGCTAACAGTCAGCTAAACCGAGACAGCTGACCTAAACTAACGAAGCCACATTCAAACTCTCCGAAGCGTAAAATAGTCGTCGCGGTCCGTAGTCGGTGCACAAGAAGCACCGCTGCACTGATGTGAGCGAGCGTTCTGGGTTCGTGGATGACGTCATCATGACGCGTTAATATTCGCCGTACTTTGCCTGTCTGTTAGCTGCATGCAAATTTAGGGGGAGAAAGTATTATGACATCGTCAACCACCAACATTTTCGTCTCGTCTCGTTAACAAAAGTTAGAATAGATATAGTCATAGTTTTTATTTTTAAGATTGTTTTCGTCACGTCTTAGTCATGGAAAAAAAGATCGTTAACGAACATTTTTCGTCATAGTTTTTGTCGACGAAATGAACACTGCAAGAAACGAAGGGCCTTTTTAAAAAAAATCAAAATATTTAGACTGACAGCCTAGAATTAAGGTGCTCGATGTCTTATGTCAGAATAGTATCTGCATGTGCACCGCTTTGACAATGAGGCGCAGCCTCACCGGGCATCGTTGAAGTCAGGGCGGTTTCTCAGAGGACTTCTTCTCCGTCGATTTTCTCTCTCTTCCTCTAGAGTTTCAGCCTTGAGGGGGAAAAACATTTTTTTCAAACAAAAGATGTATTTTCCTACAACATTTACTAAGACATTCACATTTGTTGATTCAATGCCCTAAATAGGTAATCACCATCTTCCCAAATAGATAAAACAAAAGCAGTTGCTACTCCATAGAACAATGATTAACAGAGTCCCATGTTGTCAAATCATTTTCCTGATAAAACGCTGGGACGAAGCACTGTGCAACGCCCCGCAGAGGTTTCTGCCAGAAGATGATGTTAGACAGGCGCTGACTCTCTTCTTACCTCCACGGTCTCAGCTTTGACTGCAGGTGGTTTGACTTCTTCTTTCGGTACTTCCTTGGCAGCAGGATTTCCAAGGTAGTTCTTGGTTGTCAGACTTTCAAAGAGTTTGTCGACAAATCCTGTTGTCTCTGTAAAGACGACATGAAGCATTAGATGAAGAAAGTTCCTCAAGCAAACAAGTGGAGGCTTTCTGAGGAGCTTTGTGTGACACGGCCTTCATACCTTTTTGTAGGAAGACCTCGAGCTGATCAGCACACAGTGCCTTCAGATCTTTCTCCGGTTTGTCCTTCTTCACGAGAGCCACCACATAGTTGGCTAATGCAGAGGGGTCAGCATCACAACTGTAGGATCAAATATATACGTTCTCAAATTCAGCTATTCGGTTTGTCAACTTTAACAATACAACAGGGAAGGGAAAAAATGAAGCCATCCAATTACTTTATTACTTATAGGAGACAAAAACAAAGTAGGGGCAAACGAAGTGGTGCCCAACCATGAATGCAGATATTTCCCAAAAAACGTAGTAGTCAGTACCAAGTGAAACCATTACTACATGTGGATGGTAGAACCCTGCTACAAAAACATCCAGAATCGGCAGCCAACCTTTAAAACCAGAATGACCGACCACCGATTGTATGAAATACAATCTTTAGAAGTCAACTACTAATGGCCACAATGGGGCTAAAACAAGAACATCCCAAGTGTACAAAACCACAGGAAAACACGCCTTTGACCACTCCAAGCTAATGTATAACTAAACACAAAACAAAATGGCTAACTAGTTACTCTCAAAACTACCTTCCCTTCCATTTGATCGTAAAGAACCGGCAGGTCAAAGACGATGGTGCCTGAAACTAAGCTGTCAGTGAGAAGACAGTTTGTGAAGTTGACAAAGTGCAGCAGCTTTGAGACCGTGCTTTAATTTGAGAGACAGTAGGCAGCTGTTACTGCAGCAAACGGGGCAAAACACCACCCGCTAGTCAATCACATTGTTCAGTAGGTAAATTCGCCATTCAAACTATGCACGTTCCCCTGACAACATCTGTGTCCTCTTCATTACAATGTAATTGAATTATTTACATACGAAAGAGAGGCACCAAGAGAGGGAGAAAGAGTATGTGTAACTGTGGTAACTCAAGAGAGCTCTCGTTAATTTATAAAAATGTATATGTTATATAACCTACTAATGTAACGGTTGATATAACTCAAAAAGGAGCAAACGGTTGTTTCTTGCAGTTATTTGTTGCAACTTCACAGCTTGCCCCAGAGCTGAGCTCACATTATCGTGGGCAGACAAGCTAGGTGGCTAATTACTCTAAAATAACTGGCCGACAATCCCTTTACCTCGTGCACAACTTAAAATGTATATAATTACAGGTCACGAGAAGCCGCACGATTGGTGTTTCCTATGGAATGCCAGTTAGCGGCAATGGTGTTTTGCTAACTCGTGCAAGAATTCGTCATCAGATTCTAACAAGCCCCCATTGATGCCCGGCTAACCCACTGGCTAGCCAGCTAGCTAGTAGAACATAGCTAGCTGGCTAACGTGGCTACGTACCATGCAAGCTAAATGCCATTTCAATTCAATACTCACATTGGTTCCAGAAGTTTTGCCAGCCATGACTTCAAGGCTTCAACATTCTCTATGATCATTGTGAGAAAGACTATAATACTGTCTATAAAATGAAAGTGCGTTTTGATAATCCTGCTTTCATCGTCTACAAATATATAAGCTTTAAGGCCTTCTGTCTCTCTCCACTGGCAGGTCGGACGAAAGTGTTTTACGGCATGGCAACACAACTTGAGTTGTCGTAACGCTGGACAGCCGACGGACGTTACAATCATGTCGTGTCGTTATTTAACTGCGTTCATGATTATTCACATCAGCGGTACATTAGACAACTTGAGTATAACAATACGTAGGATCACCCGCGACCCCCGATAAACACCACACGAATACAAGTCTAAGTTTACCAAGAATGTAAAAATAAGCCTTCGGGGAAATTCTTCGAACTGCATTTCCCAGAAAGCAGTGCGAGAACCTGATCTCGTGTGTCATCATCCAGGCACCGGTGGCGTGGGTTTCTCTTGTCAAACTGGAAACTACTTATACTGTTTAATCTCTCTAAGCAATAGAATAGTTATCTTAATTGTTCGTAATTTGGGTCGAAATGACGGTAGGTCGTACGCTCAATGTATCTACAGTTCAAAAAGGGTAATGCTGGTTTGTGGAAGTGGGTTCGTTAATTTAATGTAGCTACTAGGCAAGTTAGCTAACGTAGCTAGCTAGTTAGTTGTAGTCAACTGCATACCTAAAATAACAGGTTACAGCTGTTCTTAAAAACGTGTGGACCAGTTTTTCAAATTTATTTTGTTTTTTTCTAATATATTATGTTCTTGTGTACTCGATAGTTGGATTAATGTGTATTTGTGCAATCAAATTATGTTTATTCAGTTAACTTGCAGAACCCCCCCCCCCACCCCCCACCCGTGCCTGTCTTTCTTTATTGATCTAATGTTAAGTTAACGTTATAATCTTGGACTTCATTGTATTCAAGGAGCGAAAGGGAAGAGCAAAGTTGGACTTCTTGAGAAAGATTGAAATCGAGATCCAGGAGAAATGGGAGAAGGAGAAGGCATTTGAACATGATGCACCCACAACAGTCGGGGAAAGCACAAAGTGAGTTAATTAACTTATCTTTTACCAAGAGAAAGGTGCTTATGTTTTTTTCCGAAAGTCTTAGGAACTGTCCTGAGCGAGAAATAACAAATAAATAAATAAATAAAAGGAAGGAAGGTTTTATAATAGGTATACAATTTTGGCTTTTGCATTTTGGGACTACAGCACTCCTAAACGGATACCTGGTTTGACAGTCTTCTAACATTAATTGAAGAAACTTTAAATTTTTCCCTTTCTTCCTTCCAGCAAAAACAAGTACTTTGTTACCTTCCCCTACCCTTACATGAATGGCCGATTGCACCTTGGTCACACGTTCAGTTTGTCCAAATGTGAAGTAAGTTTTCATACAAAAGCAACTAAAAGCACCTGCAGCTATGATACATTGTTGATGGTCTTCACCACTAACTCACTGCGTTTTTTTCTCTATTAGTTTGCTGTTGGTTACCAGTCTCTGAAAGGGAAGAAATGCCTCTTCCCGTTTGGGCTGCACTGTACAGGAATGCCAATCAAAGTTAGTGTTGTTGTTTCGGTCCAACACATATATATGTCTGTGTAGTTGCAAAGACATTTGGAGCTCTTTTTTTGAAGTTTTTTTAACAATTGGTTCTCCATCTTCAACCTCCCCACAAACGCTGCTATTTTCTTCTTCCTTGCATTCATGCAATCATTGTTTCCACCAGGCCTGTGCAGACAAGCTGAAGAGAGAGATGGAACTTTATGGAAACCCTCCAGAGTTTCCAGATGAGGAAGAGGAGAAGGAGAAGGAGAAGCCAAATACATCTGATGAATTCGTCATCAAGGACAAAGCAAAGGGCAAGAAGGTCTGGATCTGACGGGCCTGACTGAGGCCAATTTCCACATATGGACATATGCAAAGAAATTAAGTTTTTGTTACTAACAACTAGGCCTTATTAGGTTTAAGTGTTTTTTTCTTTCAGTTCAACATTCACATCAATTGTTGCAGCAATTTGCATTAAAGGAAAACTGTATTCCTCTGTTAGAGTAAAGCAGCGGCCAAATCTGGAACCGCCACTTTCCAGTGGGACATTATGAGGTCTCTGGGCCTCAAAGACCAGGAGATATCGGAGTTTGCCAATGCTGAACACTGGCTGGAATACTTTCCTCCTCTGGCTGTTAAAGATCTCAAACTGATGGGAGTAAAGGTAAATAATTTTAGCCCTTGACTCTAGCAAACATCTGAGTTTTTTTTCTTTACCTTTTAATATGCCACGATTCGACATCATTTTTGAATAGTGTACAGTTTACTGTTACGGCTGAATTATCTAAGCATATCTAGGCATACACCGAAGTGAGTCATCGTATAGTTTGATGCCTACAATTAACCGTTATGAATCGGCCCTGTTGATAACCATATTTAGTGGTTTGTGCCTAAATCCTGGTGCCATGTCATCGCTCCGCAGGTGGACTGGAGGCGTTCGTTCATCACCACTGATGTGAACCCCTTTTATGACTCATTTGTCAGGTGGCAGTTCATCACACTGAAGGAGAGAAAAAAAATCAAGTTCGGCAAAAGGTGAGATGGTTTGGAAGTTGCTATGTAATAGTGAAACACTCTCTGCAGCACCGTCCAGGTGGTAATGGATAGAAAAATAAGGAAAGTAGGACATGCCCTACAGTATGTGGTAGCAATGCTTTCAGGATCAGTTGAACTGTTTACCCTTAAACCATATCACATACCAGCGTCTTTTCTTTTCATTGGGTAAAATCCAAACACTACTAGGTAACCGATGTTAACGTTTGCCTTATTAGTCTCATGAAATCTAGGCGTAGTGCGTTCGTTCAGAAATATATTGTGACTGTCCTCGACTCCTCTTCAGGTACACCATCTTCTCCCCAAAGGATGGACAGCCATGCATGGACCACGACAGGCAGACCGGAGAGGTGAACTTGCCTGGCTCAATGAAATAATGAACTAGTTGTTGTAAAAAAAAAATTTGATACAAATATATGATTAGTTGAAAATCCTAAAGCAAATGTTAAAAGGAACTGTGGGCTCATATTTTTAGCCAAATTTTAGATTAGTTTCTTTAATGTACTACAAATCTACATCACTAACTGACTCAATCATTAGTGATTTCTTTTGACTCCCTTTTTGCCTTTAATATTTAGATTTGGCAAATGTTTGTTTTACTGATGATGCCACAAACAAAGAAACAAATGTGTTTGTTTTTTTGTAATTGGTCTTTCCCTTTTGATTTGAGACAATTTGTAAACTATTTTTTTCAACTACTGTTCTTCTCCACCGGCAGGGAGTTGGACCTCAGGAGTACACTCTCATCAAGATGAAAATAGTTGAACCCTACACGGCAAAGTTTAAGTCCAAAGTCTTTTATAGCAGGTAACAAACTGCAATCAATGCCACCGACTTAACCGTCGCTCTACACGACAGACACGTTTTACATGTACTACCAACTCTTAATTAGACACTGAAGTAAAGTGCTAGTGCTGTCCTCCTCAGCGCCATGAAAGGCAAAAAGATCTACCTGGTGGCTGCCACTCTGAGACCAGAAACCATGTTCGGTCAGACCAACTGCTGGGTGCGGCCCGACATGAAGTACATCGCCTTTGAGACAACCAGCGGGGACATCTTCATCTGCACCAGCAGGTCTGCCAGGAACATGTCTTACCAGGGCTTCACCAAAGAGAATGGGGTGGTGCCCGTGGTCATGGAAATACTGGGCCAGGTACTAACTTTCAGCTGCAAATGTGTTCTAATTTTTATCAGGCACAATGTTTCATGGCCGTGATGGAAAAACATGCAAAATTGATTCGTTTGAATTACTTATCCTCTTCCTTTTTGTCTGGGAAGAAGCCAAGCAGGATCAGGCCGGGTGCATATGTATTTACAATGCAATTTACACCAAGGTCTGCTTCTTTTTTCTTCCTCTCCTTCCAGGACATCCTCGGCTGTGCCCTGACTGCTCCTCTGACCTCCTATCAGATCATCTATGCTCTGCCCATGCTCACCATCAAGGAGGACAAAGGTATGAGACAAGAACTCGGGGGATGAAAAGCAGAGATAAATGTATTGAATTTCAGTGTTTTTCAAGGCAGACATTTTCCACATGGGTTAAAGTGTCTTTGTTGTTGAAAGGTTTCTTTAGCAGTGCCACTCACAGCAGTCAGAACGCACTTGGGTGGAGGCACCTTGTTCTGGATTTTATGTCAGTCATTTGCTATAGCGCTTAGAGGGTTGCGGAGAAGGAGTCAGTCCCTGCTAACATCAGGCAAGATCGCAGTCCAGGGCACAACCTGTGAATAGTTAAACAAAAGCTGCTTTAAATTTTCCAATGTATTTTTGTATGTCTTTCATTACAATAAAGTTAACTTCTTCCAGCTCTGATTGCTTTAGGTATTACTTTCCGCAGAAAATCTACGCTGAGCTTCATCCCTGATCCTTCCTTGTCGCTGCTATAATTGGGGAAGCTATAAGAAAAATCTGAAAACAGCAGGTCGAGGTCCCCACAAAATGTATCGGTTGCTTCTCTGCGATGTCAGATGAAAGGATGAAAATAATGGCTGCTTTTTGGACCCCAGGGAAAACATTTGTAAACATAAGGAATAAATCTAATTGCACCCAGAGTGCTTCTTTTCTGTTGGAAGTCAGTTCTATCTATTTCTCTGCTCGGGGGGTGCAGTTTGTCTGAGTGTCTTTGTGTGTCCTGTTGAGGTTGGTTTTGTAAATAGTCTTAATTGTGTGTCCGGGATTCAAGTCATGGAGAGTAATGAGGGAGGCTCAATCTGCAGCGACCGGTGAAGTTTTTTCAGTATTCAGATTTGTCTCTTTGTTGCTCCAGTGTAGCTGCTTGGCACTTGAATAAATGTAATGACATCAGCAGTGGATTTTTACAATGTCAAGGAGACGTATTCCCCATGCCGGGAATCAATACATTTAATGTGTCTACTTTTTTCTCAGGTACGGGAATTGTTACCAGCGTTCCTTCTGACGCCCCCGACGATATCGCTGCTCTCAGAGACATCAAGAAAAAACAGGTGAGACGACATCTACCGTGCTGCCGGTCATGAAGCTTTTATGCCTCAGGTGAAGTGTAAGTGCAATTTGGAAATTCAGGTTTTGACATGTTTTTACTTATTGTGCTACCAAATCTGCTGTGCTATTTACTTAGATTTTGATGGATT